GAGTCTGCTTCTCCCTCAGACCCTCCCCCCTCTCATGCTCTCTCTATCTCATTCTCTCTCTCAAATAAATAAATAAAATCTTAAAAAAAAAAAAAGAAATGATCAAGAGAGAAGCATAATCAAAGTTGCTGTGAACCAGGCTCTCTCTTCTATACCTTGTAACATTTGCAACTCTGACAATGCTAATTTGTTAATTACTGATTTAAATTCCTTTCCCCAGAATTAAAAGTCAAATTATAGGCTTCTGAGAGATATTTCTATTTATTGGAACACACCAGGTTACCAATAAAACAGAACAGTGTAGATACAGAGCTTGTTATTTTACTGGGAAGATTAGAGGCTTTATGATGAATCTAGGTCAGATTCTGGTTCTAACAATTATACTGTGGCATTGACGAACCTTATTTTCACATCTATAAACTGGTAGTGCTCTACCTTGCAATGTTATTATGAGGCACAAGCAAAAATGTATATAGAAAGTTGGGTTTTTATTAGTAAATAAAAGTTGCTTAGGATACAGTGATGAGAATTCTTAAGGACATTCCACTTTCTTCTGTCACTATCAGAACTACACTTAGTGAGGGAGATATTTTTTTCACCAACTTAGTCTTATTTGGGAACATAGTTGTAGCCTCTAAGGAGCCATGATTTGGCAATGTTACTGATTGTCTCCCATGCCAAATGAGACCAACCCTAGAGAATGAGTAGTATTCCCTTGAGCTTGTATCATTCTCTATTCTGTAAGTCTTCCCACTCTTATTTGTAATGTTCATTACTACTCTTGAATCCTTGTTTAATTCAACTGCAGTCTGTGTATACTTCCTTTTTTAAAGATTTTATTTATTTGAGAGAGAGAGACAGAGACAGAGATAGCAAGAGAGAGCATGAGTGGGGAGGAGGGGGGAGAAGCAGGGAGCCCACTGCAAGGCTCCATCCCAGGACTCTGGGATCATGACCTGAGCAGAAGGCAGACGCTTAATTAACACCCCTGTTTATACTTCTTAAGGGAAAGTTCCATATTACCATGTCATCTTTCCTTTATATTTCCCCCATAGTGCCTAGCAGTGTGTGAGATATGTTATTTATTCATTAAGCAAATATGTGAGTGCCTACGATGGAGCTAGGCCCTTATTCTAGATGCTGGATATATGTCAGTTAATAAAACAGTAAAAAAATCTATGCCTTGTGGAACTTAGATTCTAGTGCACATAGAAAGTACAGAATTCAATTCTGGTTGCATTATTGGGGCAAAAGGATATTTTGATCTTTTGTCTAAATCTCTCACCAATTTAGCTGGAAAATTAAGACAATTTGATGGATGTGCTTTCCTACTTTGCAGTATTTAATACACACACACACACACACATATATATATGTATACATGAGAATCTCTATATCATCTCTTGTTAATCTTTCCAGTATAAGTAGTATTTATGGCCTTTTTTAAGAATGTATATTCTTCTAATCATATTTGCCTTCAAACTCATAAATATATTATAAACCCGAGAGATTTGACAATAGAACTTTTTAATGGTTGAAAAATAGTAAAAAGAAGTTTTGAACAATAAAATGAAAATTTATACCATTGCAGGTTTGCCTTTTTAAATATGGCGCAGCTAATCTTCCATATACATTTGTAAAAGGCACCAGATGTTAACAGGGTAAAGAATGCAAGAAATCAAAACAGAGCCACTTTCCCCAACTTCCTTTTTGTATCAATATACACATTTTAAGGCAGATTCTTTTCCGTGCAAAATCCAACAGAAGAAAATCAACATTTTACAATTTCACACATTCTCAGATTTTTTTCAGTATCATTTGTCAGGATATTCATGATAAAGCATATTAAAACAATTTTTTCCTAATGAAGCTTAAAGAGGTTGATGAATAATTATTAAAAATTATTTAGAGATTTCATTACAGACCCCTCATAGAAGATATAGAAAAGTCAATCTTTTTTTCTTGTTTCTTCTTTCAGAAATGTCCATATCAGTTTGTTCACTATGTCAGGTTGTTCTTGCTGAAGCCAATGACTGACTTCTGACAAAATAGTCAGCCTGAAATAATTTTTAACATAAATCTTTGTGACTTCAGCCATCTCAACCTCCATAAATGCATCTTTCTCTCCCCACAGTAGTAGCGTTGGAATGGTCACCATATGATGTTTGAGAGGCAGACAGCTATAAAAACAAAACACGTGGACTTGAGACTCATTGTAAAAGTTAAAATAACATTTTCCCATAATGTTCTTTTAAGCCATACATTCTCAAAGGAGACAATATCACCACCAATGGGGTGAAAATTGATTCTTGGGAGAGTGAAAAAAATTACTTTTTTTATGTATAAATCATGGATATACGCACAGTACATAAACAGATATTAAAATTTCATAGGGTGGGGGGGCAATTAGGAAAAAAATGTCTCAAAAGGCTCCTTAAGGAGGTGATGATGAAAAAATGGTTGAGAAACACTGCATTAGGCAATCAATCTATACAATAAAAAATTTAAAAGGCTATTTAAGAAAGGGCTCAATAAAATTTTTAATTGGATGAGTGTAGCAAAATTTATAATGAAGGTTATAAATTAAATATGAAATTCATCACTATGAAGAATAATTTGCTTTAAAAGGATACCAGAATTTCTGAATGGTGTGATGAAAGAGAGTTTTAAATGGTGTTACTTTAAATATATTTTAAATTGTTAGATAATATAACATTTATGTGAAATTGGAACTGAAAATTCAGAAAATATATACAGACTGAACTTTACCATTAAATGAGACTATATTTATTTTGCAAGAAGATTATTTTTAAAACAATGTTTTATTGTGTATTTTCTTAAAGTATAAAGAATAAAACCATGCATAATTCCATCATTAAAAGATAACTTTTGGTCATTTTCTATGCACATAGTTGAAACCATACCATAAATAAAGTGCAATAAATATACACAATTTGTATACAGCATCCATACTCAAATTTCATGTTGAATTATAACTTGAGAATTTTCTCATTTCATGTTTTTCAAAAGTAATTGTGAAAGATAGTATTTTATGGTATAATGACCCATAAATGACTATTCTCCTATAACTGAATATTTAGATTATATCATCAGTTAAAACAAGGGGATGTTTTAAGTGATGCTATAATGAGCATTTTGTGCCCAAATCTTTTTTGGCATTTCAGATCATTTCTTTCAGCTAAAGTCCTAGAAGTGGATTTCCTGAGCTAAAGAATATAAATATTTTTAAAGCTTTTGACATTTACTGCTACACTATTTTTCAGGAAAGTGGGATGGTATTAATTACACTCTTGTTGACTATGCATGAGAATGAACACATCACTAGACACTCTCCAGCACTGACTTCCATTTTTGTTAGTTATCAAAACTCATGACTTGTGGCTACTTGGGATTGATAGGATGCTGCTAGAATGTGCAGGATATCACATATATCCACTAGGGACTTAACTTTTGACTCCCATGCAAGTGGCCATCATTTGGTTATAATGCTCCTAAAAATTAAGGTCTTTGTGAATGGGTAAACTGATAGAAAAATAAACTCTTACTTAATTTTGATACATGGATTGCTATACAAACTTGCAAGTCACTCAAATTCTAGAGCTCATAAAATATTCAAAAGTAGAACATTTTCTAACAATTACCTGCATATTTAACAATATGTGAGCATGTAATAATTGAATCAGTAAGGTAAAAGGAGTTTTAAAAGACAATTAGTCAAAAAAATAAAGAAAAATATAAATTCTTCACTCATATGTGGAATTTAAAAAACAAAACAAATTAACAAAGAAAAAAAGGGACAACCAAAAAAACCTAGACTCTAAACCATAGAGAACAAACTGGTAGTTGCCAGGAGAGAAGTGGGTCAGAGAATGGGTGAACTACGTGAAGGGGATAAGGAGTGCACTTGTGACGAGCACTGAGTAATGTATAGAATTGTTGAATCACTGTATTGTACACCTGAAACTAGTATAACACTATATGGTAATTATAGTTGAATCAACACAATAAACAAAAAAAATGAATTTTTAAAATTTTTAAAAAAGAAAAAAGCAAGAAAAATAAAAATTCTTCACCAGATCAAATTGGGGATAAAGGGAGGAGTTTCCAGAAAATGAAAAGAAGAGCATATTCTCTGGCCCTAAGGTTTTAAATTGCTAAACTTCACATGAAATGTTACATATATTTATTTTTTTTAAGATGTATTTATTTATTTGAGAGAGAGAGGGCACAAGTGGGGGAGGGGCAGATGGAGAAGGAAAGAATTTCAAGCAGACTCCCTGCTGAGAACAGAGCCAGATGCGAGGCTCAATACCATAACCCTGAGATTATAACATGAACCAAAATCAAGAGTCAAATGCTTAACTGACTGAGCCACCCAGGTGCCCCTGAAATATGTTACATATAAAAGAAAGTATCCACCAAAAAATTGCTAGAACTAATACATGAATTCAGCAAAGTCACAGGATATAAAATCAATGGACAGAAATTTGTTGCATTTCTATACACTAATAATAAAGCAGCAGAAAAATAAATCAAGGAATCAATCCCATTTACAATTGTACCAATACAATAAGATACCTAGGAATAAACCTCACCAAAGAGGTAAAAGATCTGTACTCTGAAAACTGTAGAACACTTATAAAAGAAATTGAAGAGGAAATGGAAAAATATTACACATTCATGGATTGGAAGAACAAATATTGTTAAAATGTCCATATTACCCAAAGCGATCTACACATTTAATGCAATCCTGATCAAAATACCACCAGCGTTTTTCACAGAGCAAGAACAAACAATCCTAAACTTTGTATGGAACCACAGAAGACCCCAAAGAGCCAAAGCAATTCTGAAAAAGAAAAGCAAAGCTGGAGGCATCATGATTCTAGACTTCAAGCTATATTACAAAGCTATACGCATCAAGACAGTATGGTACTGGCACAAAAACAGACACATAGATCAATGGAACACAATAGAGAATTCAGAAATGGACCCACAACTATATGGTCAACTAATACTCAACAAAGCAGGAAAGAATATCCAATGGAAAAAAGAAAGTCTCTTCAACAAATGGTGTTGGGAAAACTGGACAGCGACATGCAGAAGAATGAAAGTGGACCAGTTTCTTACACCATACACAAAAATAAATTCAAAATGGATGAAAGACCTAAATGTGAGACAGGAAACCATCAAAATCCTAGAGGAGAACACAGGCAGTAACCTCCTTGACCTCAGCAGCAGCAACTTCTTACTAGACACGTCTCTGGAGGCAAGGAAAACAAAAGCAAAAATGAACTATTGGGACTTTATCAAGATAAAAACTTCTGCACAGCAAAGGAAACAGTCAACAAAATAAAAGGCAGCCTACAGAATAGGAGAAGATATTTGCAAATGTCTTATCAGATAAAGGGCTAGTACCCACGTGTGTAAAGAACTTATCAAACTCAACTCCCCAAAAAATAAACAATCCAGGAAAGAAATGGGCAGAACATATGAACAGATATTTTTCCAAAGAAGACATATAGATGGCTAACAGACACATGAAAAGATGCTCAACATTACTCATCATCAGGGAAATACAAATCAAAACCACGATGAGATGCACCTCACACCTGTCAGAATCACTAAAATTAACAACACAGGAAACAACAGGTGTTAGTGAGGATGTGGAGAAAGGGGAACCCTCTTACACTGTTGGTGGGAATGCAAACTGGTGTAGCTACTCTGGAAACTAGTATGGAGGTTCCTCAAAAAGGTAAAAATAGAATTACCCTATGACCCAGCAATTGCACTACTAGGTATTTACCCCAAAGATACAAATGTGGTAATCTGAAAGCACACATGCACCCCAGTGTTTATGGCAGCACTATCAATAGCCAAATTATGGAGAGTCCAAATGCCCATCAACTGATGGATGGATAAAGAAGATGTGGTAGGGCGCCTGGGTGGCTCAGTTGGTTAAGCGACT